CCCCAAAACTGGATCAAAATCAATTCAAAAGGTGATATTCGTAATCACCGTGAAATTTTGCATCGAATGATATAGTTTTAAGTGAAAAATAAGAACTTGCAATTCTTTTGAATTAGCGGCGCCTTATTCGTGTTTTACAAAAAATGTATTTTTGTGCACGCAAAAATATTAATAAAATATCGAGAATTTGGGCACTAGCTTACTCAAGGACAGCGATAAACTTAGAGGGAGTTCCAAACAAAAAATCCCAGAAAGTCCCCAGGGACTCCCCTAAAACTCCCTAAGGACTCCCCGGGGAGTCCCTGGGGACTTTCTTGGGGAGTGTCGATTAGGGACGGCTAAACACCTTTCTTCAACTTCACATTTAACATAGTATATATAAACCTCGTGAACTTGTCTACAAAACGACTATTTAGAAGACAGACTGCGAGAACTTTTTTCGATTGTTCCTCTTTTCTTGCTGATAGCAACGCCTATTTTCCACTTCCTTTCTGCTTTTTATTCAACTGAACTGCTCAACATTATCCTTCATCAAGACCAAAATCAATAGAACAATAAAAAAGAAAAAAAAGAAGATAAAAAGAGAAGATAAAAACGAATAATCATAGTTTAATTATGAGTGGTCGATATACGAGATAGAAAAAGAGAGGAAAAACATAATTGAATCGAACAGAAAATTATTTCTTAAAATTCTTGAAAAAGAACGTCTGAAACCTGATTCTTGAAAGAATTATTATCTTAAGTTCGACAAGTGATGTAAGAGAAAGAAAAGAAGAAAAAATGTGTTTTTGAAACAACGACAAGAAGAAAATATATGAGAAATGATTGAAATTGAAGCCAAATATATGAGAGACAGAGTTTTTGACCAGTGCTGAAAACATATCGTTTCAATGTCCCTCCCGTATTCGTCGCGAAAGATTACAAATTCATGCAAAAACTGCTTCAATTTCAATCAACTTTTTTCTCATATATTTTTTTCTTGTCGTTGTTTCAAACATTTTTATCTTCCTTTCTTTCTTCTACATGCTACTCATTCCTTCTTTACTATTTCCTTGGACATAATCATTCTTGCATGAAGAAAGAAACAAAAAACCCATGTACGACTTAGACACTCGCAACACTCATTCTTTGGCATTCACATTTACACAAGAATAGAATAATGTCCAACAATCCATGGCTTCAAATCTTTCATTTACGCCCTTCAGCTAAATACCAAGTGTTCATATTTCCTGGTGCAGGATCTGCAGGTGATGCTACTTTTTCTCGTATGACAAGTTAGATGATTTAAAGCAGCTAAACGAATTCTCGTATAAAAACAATACATCAACCCTCATTCTTCTATCTACCTTCTACAGGTTACTTCTACCAAACATGGGACACCAACTTCCCTAGTTATGAATTTGCCTTAGTACAATATCCGGGTCGTTCTAGTCGTTTCGGTGAAGAACCAATTCGTACGCTAAAGGAGTATATTCAACAATTAGATAAGTGGCTAGTGCCATCGATTCGAAAGCCATGTGTATTTATTGGTCACAGGTGTGAGCTTTAGTACTGCCAAAAGACTAACACACATTTTTCGTTCTTTTATCTGTGCTTTTAGCTTAGGAAGTGCAATTAGTTTTGCACTGGCTAAACATATGGTTGATATGGAAAAGAAAAATGAGATGATTAAGTTAATGGTGATGTTAGGAAAAGGCCCGCCGCATTTAGAAGGTGTGTTATAGGAGCTAAACGCCAACAGACATCTGCGTAGGACGTTCAAAAAGTTCCGAGACTGATTTAAGCGCTCCCGTATTAGTATTGCTGTTTGAGTGTAGTACATACAGTCCTCTATCTATAGACATCATGAGGTCTGATCGATTAAATATTTATATGCAAATGTAGCAATACTTTTTAGATCACCTATTAGACACTGGTAGAAATTTTAAAATTTGAGCATCCTGCACTGATAAAGTGTCTTGCTTTCAATCCCCACCCAATATTTATGAAAATATGCTAGTAGCTTACGGGTATAATGCTCCATCACGGACTGTGGTTTGTGAATGGGCTCATCAATTTAAAGGTAGACAATTAAATATTGATGATGATCCTAGATGTGAATGACACAAATATTAAATCTGTTAAATGCCAAGTCATCAAAAAGTGTCGAATTCCAGTTCAGCAAATAGTGGACACTATTAGCATTTGAAATGCATGGTACATAGTATTTTACATAATCAATTACATATGACTAAAGACGGTTCAAGATGAATACCACATTTGATAGTACCTGATCAACTATACGTCGTTCATATATCTATGTTTACTTATACACCTTTAAAACGACGAACCCATTCAAAAACCATAGTCCGTGATGGAGCATTATCACCGTAAGCTGTCATCTTACGTTCATAAATATTGGATGACGATTGACTTCCAGAACACAAAATTTTGCTCATGTTTTGGGTTTTTTGTCAGTGTCTAAGAGGTGATCTAAAAAGTATTGCTACATTTGCATATAAATATTTAATCGATCAGAGCTCATGATGTCTATAGATAGAGGACTGTATGAACTACACTCAGACAACAATTCCAAAACAAGAGTAAGAAATATTCAAAACGAGAGTAGGAAGTATCTATTCTCAAAAGACTTTTATGTTGAACATTTTTTAATGATGAATCATACTAGACATAATCTGGAAGGAGAAAAAAGAAAAATATGTTGTTGTTCTATACGCGGTTAAGGTTTCTCTTTTTCTGTGTTTGAACTGACTTTTTGTACTTTAGTTGACTGATGATGTCATTAGAATAAAGACACAACGTCTCATTTTGAAATAGTCATTTCAACATGAAAAAGGTGATTTTATTCTTAATATCGATTTTAAAATTCCAAAACAGTAGCGCTTTTTGTTGTTTTTAAATAAAATCAATCTCGGAGCTTTTTGAATGATCCTTGTATATAGTAGTAATTTGTCTTTATATCGTTACAGATCCTGTCGAGTCATTCTTAACTATGACTGATGCTGAAATTGCAGCTGAGTTAAAGAAAATGTCAGGTGAGTGTGTATTTTGATAAAATGTGTTCTTATTCTGAACAAATCTACTTCATCATTCAGATCCCAGTACAGCTACTTTCTATGACGATCCTGATATTAATGCAAATGATTACACCTATATTAAAAGCTGATTCATTGGTGAGCCTGACAACTTAGAAAGTTAGATCTAAAGAGAACTCATAAATTGTTTACAGGTCGCCGATGAATTACAACCAAAAACTGTGTTAGATATACCGATTATTGCTTATGGTGGTGACAAAGAAGAAAATGTGGATGAAGCGTTTTTAAAGAGGTTTGTGCGATAAAGGTCAGACCATATCTGAGATTGCTCATGAAATAAAATCGCAAGTACACATGCATTTCGAGTGCTGACATTTTCTTTGGTTGTCATTCAGGAGCTACTTAGTCATCGATCGACAGTCAGTCGATCTCTAAAGCTAATAATTTAAATTCTTTCTCTATCTAATTCTAGGTGGACTGAATTAACAACTGTCAAAGATCTTTTTCGTGTACGTATGTTTCATGGACATCATATGTTTCATTCTGAATGTGGTGAAAATGTATTGAAATGTTTGAAAGAAGATCTGACGAATATAGTGGAGAAGCCAGAGCAATAGAAAGCACCTACCTACACTTATTGCATTTTTATGAGTTCAAATGAGTCAAGTTAGGATTTTTTTGAAATAAAGAGTGTGGGAAGATCATAGAGTTCGACATGACTATGACTAGAAAAAGGAATCAAGGAACTTTTCGCCTTTTGAATAAAAACTGAGAAATCCTGTGAATAATTGTTCTCAGAGATCGACTAGTTCAAATAGCTCTTTTGAAAATGGTTCTTCGGCGCTTCCATGTTTTTGTGTGGAGACGAAATCACCTATCTAACTAGTCACAGCGTTGAAGATAATTCTGGCAACATTAATAATGAAAAATAAAAAGTAGCTGCACTCTGGTGAATAACAAGACATTTAACCAAAAATCTTAAATATTTCTGCTGATAGACGAAATTCGAAAACAATGTCACAGTCGTACTCTAACATTTACAAAACCAGGGTTCTATTGATCTATTATCGTTGACAAACTATAAGCGTTTGTGCTCTAAACGAGTGATTAATATTGGAAAATGAGAACGTTTTATGAGTTCTGGATTAGAGAGAGATTATTATAATTTTTACAAAAAAAGGTGTGCACAAATTTGTGAACATCATGTATGATTAGAGTTAAAGATTAGAAACAAGGAAACAATTAGATACTTAATTAGTTATTGCGGAACTTTTGCCATCTTGCTTTTATGGGCATGTTTCTACGAAACTTTCAAAAACTTACAAGTTTTCCCCTTGAACCGTGGGTCATCAACTCTAACGAGGGAACCTCTCGATGTCATAGAAAGCTTTTGGACTTTGACTACTTTTATGTTGTAGACCCTAGTGAGTAGTGAAATACCCTAAGTTGGTTCGTTCCCTTATTGCTTTGAGAGAGAATTGTGGCCGGTTTACTGTTCTTTTTACCTATGGTACCGTGTGAGCAGTAGTAGTAAATGAGTGGCTCTCGGTCTGAAGTTTTAATGCATAAAAGGGTCTTATGAACACAAGAATATCCTGAAAGTTTGACACAAAATGAATGCATCCTTCTTAATGAATTGTCAAAAAGCGACTATTTCTCGCAAGAAATTAAAATTTGTCTTAGAAGACTCGTTTTTTGACAATTCATTATCGTAAGAAGGATGCATTCATTTTGTGTCAAACTTTCAGGATATTCTTGTGTTCATAAGACCCTTTTATGCATTAAAACTTCAGACCGAGAGCCACTCATTTACTACTGCTGCTCACACGGTACCACAGGTAAAACAACCAGTAAACCTACCACAATTCTCTCGCAAAGCAATAAGGGAACGAACCAACTTAGGGTATTTCACTACTCACAAGGGTCTACTAGATAAAAGTAGTCAGAATCCAAAAGCTTTTCATCACATGGAGAGGTTCCCCATAAGTGCATTGTGCAAGTGAAAATAGTGTACTATAAAATCAGAAATGAGGTTTTCTTTTTGTTAGAACAACTTATTGATGCCCCGTGATGCAAAAGTTACACCAAAAATGCTTTTGGTGCATGTCCTTCACATTTCCAAGCATATTAAAGTCCTAAGGATGCTTAAAAAGACGTTTGAGTTAAAGATGTGAGGATATTGATCCTCTAGTGGCTAACTCTAATCGTAGTAGTGAAGCTATAGTGAGAATCAACTCTCACTCCGATACGTTTATTTGAAGGAAAATAACGACTATATATAGTACAAAAGTTGAACAACAGTTTTGTAAGAGTTGCGCATGAGTTACATAAGAATAGAAATAGTTTAGGACAATCCCATTATGAAGCAAGAGTTGCGCAATAACAGAAAGAAACGAAAGGAAGAATGAAAGAAGAGTTGCGCAATAACATAATTGCGCAACAATGGTATAAGAGCAGAATGGAGAGAGAATGAACCTTATGAGCTGCCGAGGACGGCAGATCATAACAAAAGATATATAAATAAAGTACCTGAAGGTAAATGCCCCGTGATGCAATGGTTACAGCAAGCACTCGACTCACTCTATGAATCATTACTCAATAACATGTTCAAATTTCTTTTTCTTGTGAAGGCTTAAATACAAGAGTGGATATTACTTATCAATCCGCATATCTGTTAATGGCAAATCGAATCACACACATTTGTTCCACACTTACAGCACACTAGGGGCAATATTTTCTCTTATTTTGCCGTCAACTTGCCGGTCAAACTACACAACATAATCCGCCTTTGTAAAAAACGCTTTACATAATTCCTAAAATAAATGTTCCGTTCTTTTGAAATTCAACAGGTTTCGCTGAATAATTTGTTACTGGCACACAAGAATTTATACTGATTTTGACCATTTTGACATAAATATATATATATATCCTGTCTGTTTCATTTATACAATTTTCGTTTTCGTTTTCACTTTATACCTTTGTTCAATACAGACGAAGAAGAAATAACTCCTTCTCTTTAACATTTTTATCTCATTCTTATTTTATTTCGCTCATATATATATACTATCTGTTTCTTCAATTCGTTCATACTTGAGTAAGGCAACAAGCCGAAACGTGTCCTATCATGTATCACTTTTATTTTTCGCTTTTAAAGTGTTATTTATTATTGTTTTCTTTCATGAAAATATATATTTTACGAAACCATCAATTCAACTATATGTCCGTTACACTCATTTGTATATATGTGTGTACGTCCGTGACACTCATTAGTGTGTGTAGGTCCGTCATAATTCATTAAGATATATGCGTCAGAAATCGAGATTAAAATCACCTTTTTACATGTTGAAATGACCATTTCAAATTGAGACGTTTCGTCTTTATTCTAAAGACATCATCAGTCAACTGATGTACAAAAAATAACTTCTAACATTGAAACAGACAATAAAACACGTGTAGAACATAAAATATTTTTCTTTTGTTTTCACTCTCCTTCTAGATCATATGTAATATGATTCATCTCAAAAAACATTCAGCATAAAAGTCTTTTGGCAATATATAGTTCTTATTCCCTTTTTTGTATGAATGTCCATGAGTAGACTCTCTTTTATCTCTCTCTTTATTTATGAGATTCTATAGCGAGTATTCCTGAATTCCAGTTAGTTCTATGTCCACTTGCGAACCCATGAATGGCAATCCTTGAGAAACCTTGCCCATAAAATGCTTGCTGATGTTCTTCTTTTCTTTTCTTCTCTCCTCTCGCGGTCTGCCCAATATAGGTATTACAACAGCCACAACAGTCATACTTATACACTACTCTATTCTCATTGATCGTGTTCTTATACATTCGCCCAAACACAGAAGAGAGAGTGTATCCTGCTTTAAAGCCGAAAGTCACCATTTTCATCTGGTGAGAAAGAAGCTTTTTCGATTGATTTGCCAGGATTAATGAGCGTTCGAGAAGATAAATGAATTTGAGAAAACATATAGACCTAGTGCTGCAACTAAATGATATATGCTAGATTGTTTTCTAGACCATCTTATCAATGAAGCACTTCTAAAAGAAAATACTACAACATTA